AGTAAGTAAAATGTGAATCTTAAAATTTTCAGACAAAATTTCAAAATATAATAATAGTTAATTTTTCACTTTAAAAATATGAATATGATATTTAAAAAAAGTAAAATTTAGCTGCAGAGCGCATAATAAAACATATTTATAGATCGCAGAGGAAGCGTTTTTTATTTGCTTTTTTCCACAAATCTCGCAAATGAAATTTTCTTGATTAATATCTCTCTTGATCTTCCCTTTTTTACTTTTCTTAAATGAGACTGACGAGATACTCAACTTATACGCAAAAAGATGCTTAATTTAGAAGGAAATCTGATTATGCTTTTTTTGTATTCATTTCATAAAATTGTTCTTCTTTTTATTTATTTTTATTATTGGAATACGAAGCCCAAGATTTAAAAATAAGTTAACCAGATTTCACACGATCTTTTATTTAAAACGTAAGCTATTTTCTTATTCTTGATATTTAAAATCTTTTAATCAACATAAACAAAATTAATTCAACTTATTATAAATTTCTTTTGGTTTAGAAGAATGAGCTAAATCATGATGTAAAAATCGGCCAAAATTTATCTCCGTTATATTAATAATGTGAAATTCGAAAAATTGCTGATAGACATCAATTAGAAATCTTGGTGCAAACGCATACAATTCTTTATAAAAATTTCCCAGAATACTTTTAGGGCGTACTAGAGCGCACCGTATGAAACTGCTCGCACCATTTGTATAAGTGTTGATGTGCCTGAAAACTGTTTCCAAATGCAAAGGTACAGGTTTTGGAATTTTTTACCACCGAACTTGTTCGAATGAAAATGTAAATTTTTTAAAGGCAACGCTGACAAAGCAATTCATTGAGAAATATTTATGTTATCTTTCTCTCTTATTTTAAATTTTTATTTTGTCATTAATTTGGATGAGTTCATGTATGGGGCAAAGTTGCCCTCAGTTTGAACCCAATAAACAAACTTCTGAAAATAAATCAGTTAAATTTTTAGAATTTTTTGCCTGATTTCTAAATATTTCCTTCATTTGTACTCCTGCAGCTAAATTTCAATTCCAATGCAGGATAAAAACTGTTCCACCTCTGGTCAATTGTTTTGCACAAGCAAGAGAGAGAGGCGGCGGGGGAAGAGATCGAGCGGTTCCGTTTGTGAGTCGGCGGCCGGTCTGTTCTCTGGTCGTTGTTGGACGGGGCGCATGATAATGTTATTATCTCGTGAACAAGCCATCATCAGCAGAATAAACATCAAATTATTTTATTTATACCTGCTTGGGCAACAGCTTTTTTACTGCCGCTCCTCTCGCCTGCAAGAATAAGAGTCATTTTCCTCAACAAATTCTTTGGCACTGTAAAGCAGGAAACGCCGATTTTCCTCACAGCAACTTTCTTCTTTCTGCGAGGTTATTTTTTAATAAAACACTCCTTTTAATCATTAAATTATGAAATTTATAATGGGAAAAAGATCCTTTTCCCACACTTTTGGAAAGCAATTTTGAATGAAGAGCAGCAGGTGCGGGCGGATGACTCGAGATTGAATGAGTTGGAAAACGGAAGCTTTTCATTAGATTTCTGTACTCATTTATCGCGGGCCAATTTGGCCGCCAGAGGGGGTAATTGGAATGAGGCGCCCCCCGCTGCGGGGCTCCCGCTCGGACCACCGACGGAAGAAATCCACCCGCACCGCGCGACGAAACCCAAATTGAAGCAATTCAATCGAGTCTCACCCATTTTTTTTTCTTCAAAACATCATCAATCATATTTTTAATACGAAAAAGCAAAATAAAAAAAATCAAATTGCAGGTTGCTGCCGTGCGAGTGTAATTTGCGTGCGAGCGATTGAAAAACTCTCTGCTCGTTTCGCGTGTGTGCACGTGATTATTATAAAACAATAAGAGAAGCGAGAGGCTTAATAATTTTATACTCTTTTTCTCCTCTCTCGTGCCCGCAGCCAAATTCTGGAGCAAAAAAATAATGAAACTTTTCTCTTTGCACGACCAAGAAAAGGATCCGGCGCGGTACGAGAGTGTAATTAATGGAGCCATAACTTATGTTTTCCGAAGAAAAATAATATAAAGTAAAAGGGAAGTCGAGGGAAACAATATTTAATTTAATGTCTCAATAAGAAACGAGCGCAGGCGAACCGAAAATAATATATGGCTCGCGCGTTCTTTGAGCTTTAACTGCTTTTTGAGTGGGAAATAATTACATAATATGACCCAGAATTTATTTCTCTGCTCTATCTTACCTTTTTTTAATGGCGTCAAATAAAAAAAATCTAAATGTCTCAGAAATAATGACATTTTGAGAGATAAATATATCAAATGGGTACATAAAGCACGTCATTAGTAATTTTTGTGCAGAAGAATTGAAAAAGTGAATGATAATCTTTTTTCTAAATAAGATTTACTTTCTTTGTTATATTTTTTAATTATAATTATACCTCCTCTTATAATTGCAAAAGATTCCTTGTAGTTTTATTTTAAAAACAGAGTTGCAATTATATTAAACAAAACTTTATATTGGAAAAGCTGCGCAATTTCAATTATTTCGACACCATAATTACCCTTCTTAAAGTCTTTATTCGGAGCTTATTGAAAGGCAGGCAATTTATGTGAGCGCGGTGAATATTTGAGCGTAATTAAAATTGCTTTGAAACAAAAGCGCCGCGCAATTAAACAAACGAGCATTCCGCGATCTTATCGCGGGACGAACCGGGAGAAAAGAAAACGATAATCGCGGCCAATCGGAATGTTAAGTATTCTTATCTGGGACCCGCGCGAGATGCTGATAAAAATCGCACGGCGATTCTTCGCGGCGCCAATAAGCCAACTGCTGCACAAGAGTTGAAATTGATACGTCTTTCTATATATTATGTGAAAAGTGCGTGTTGAGTTTTTTAATCTCTTCGCGGCGGCGAGAAGAAAGGCCGCAATTTTTCCGCGTGCGTTTTGCGTTATTTTCCTCCTCATTAGCGCAGCTGAAAAGGAAGCCGAACTTTTGGTTAGGGATGGCGTGATTTTCGGCAATTTGCACCCACTGCGTTTAGCTCGCGAGAAACACAAGGCACATTTCTGGGAATTGATATGTTAAAAAAGAAGTGCGGCTAATAAGGAGAACACACGCCTTTGGTGTCGTTTGTTAAAAAAGAGCCGCGAAAACTTGACAACTTAATAATCTGCGAAAATAACAAATTTGTGAATTTTAATTGCCTACTAATATATCTAGGAGAGTGTAAATTCCATCTCGGTGGAAACATCAAACACCGGCCTTTTCAACCAAAATATAATTTATAAATATGGTTTTTAATAAATGGTTATTTTTGTTAATAATTCAATGTCATGAAATCGTTATTAAATTTTTTGCTAAATTAAGTTTCAGAGTTGATAAACACTTATTATGAAAATCTACCAACTGCTCCAATATCTTTCATTTTCAAAGTATGTATACAAAATTAAAAATGATCTAGATTTGTAAATTTTTCACTTTTTTTACACAAAATTGACTAAATGCAATAATTGATGTAATTATTATGTTTAATGTGATTTTAAGATAATTTTCCTCTCTTTGATAATGTAAATTGATAAATTTTTTAATATTATTTATGATGTACCTGGGCAGTAATTGCCTTCTGATACAATCAATAGACTTTTTGCAACCAAATTTAATTTTATTTATTTTATTTAGTTTTTATGTTTTTTCTGATGTACTACCAAAGGTTGAAGTTGTATTGAATCAAACTGGCCGTCAAAATATAATTGTTTTCCTAATTTACTTATTTGAAAACATAATTATTTGAAAGACCTAATACAATTAGTAATTACCTTTTTCAACAGGCATTTCATAGTTTCTTTATATTTATTTTTAAAATTATAGCACATTAAATTGAAAGTTTATTGAAAACTTCTATGGACGTGAATTTTCTTACAAGGAAGTAAATTATTGAAGATTGCATTCGCACAAATTACCAAATCGGCCGGCATCTGTGTGACTGTGAGATATGGCCGCAATCGTCATGGCCGTCGTGCAGAAAATGAAATTGCGCACCGATCGACAATGCTCACCCATCAGGAAATATAAATCCTTCCTCGTTTGCCAAGCCAAAAAGTGGTGAAAATATGATTGTTTACGAAAGCCATAAATCAAATTGACGTGTACGAGAATATTAAATAGAGCAGCACGCTGCACCGCTAGTAAAATTTTAACCAAATGCGAACACACGGTCTATATATTCATGCATGAAAGTATAAAACGTAATGTGCGTTATATAAAATCGCCACCAGCAATTTAATTCAGAGCCATCAATCTCTGGGTCTATTATGTGAAATTTACGCAGCGTCATTCCGTTGTTAAATATTTAATGAAAAGCGTTTCGATCGTTGCGGTGCTACCGGCTCATGGGAATGCTGCACACTTTTAATTAGAGTAATTATCCAATTTAATTGCGCGCGAGTCAATTAAAGCTGCATAATTTTCACCGGCGAACAATCAAAGCAGAGAACGCGTGCTGCGATACAAATATTAAAATTTACTTTATCTCTTTCATTATCTGAGGTGTTGTAGAGTAAAATTTCTAGATAAAACTTAATATTATCATAATTATTATTAAGGATTGTGGGAACTTCAATAGAAGGAAATACGATTTTGTGATTTTTCTTCTTCTCATTTTTATATGTACGTTTAATAGTTATATAGAGCACAGTTTAATTACACGGTAATAATAATATAATAATTATTATTAGCAGAGAGCTGGCGGTTAAAGAGACAGACGCTATTTACACGAAAATGTTCAATTGACGCTCCTAAATGTACACAACAAAATTTATTTCCATAAAAGACCTTCTCTAGTAATAAATTTTTATTCTTGAATTCAAAGTAAGTTTTTTTTCATAATTATTATAATAGAATTGTGATCGAAACAACAATTGAAGGTTCACATTTTGAATAAAAAAAATTGCTACTGGAGAAGCCCTCAATTAAAAAAAAAAAAAAATAAAACAGTGACTTCTGATTTTTGATATTATTTAGTATTTTTTTTTTTTTTTTTTTTTGAAAAAAAAAATTAACAATTTCTTATTTACTTTTTCAACAATTAAACTTTGTTAACATGCTTGTCCAAGGAGCGTCCGAAACTTTCTGACGATTCGTCCTCGTGTTCCATTTGAAGACGCAAAATTCGTGTCTTTTTTCACTTCAAATCACTGACTTGTTTGCCGCTGCTGATATGTGCGCGATTATTGGTCGGTCTTTCTTTATTTTGTCCGGTGGAGGGGGCGTTCGAGCAGGGGAGGGGATTATCACGAGAGAGGGGCGCCACCACCGCCTCGCGCCAGCAGAGACTCAATGCTGAAGGGGTTGGGGCGGTGTGATGGGGGCAGAGGGGGCGACGGCGGTTCGTCGTCGGTGACAACAACGTCCTCGTCGTCCAGATCGGAACTCATCTCGCCGACGACGTCGATTTCCTCCCCTCTGATGCTCGAAGAGCCGCAGCTGGAGGGTGAACGCGTGTCCCCGCTGCCCTGCGTCGACCCTGAGCCCCCAACCCTCCCCATCCGCCGCCTCTGCTGCGCCTCCCAGTCAGCGCGCAACGCCTCCAGATCCACCTGGATGCCCTTCAGGGCCAATTTTTTCTGCTGCTTTTCCAAGGACTTGCGGATTTTCTTCTCTCGCCGGTCGCGCTCCTTCCTGACCAGTTCTTCAGGAGGGATGGGCTCGCCGCTGCAGGTCTGCGGGTGAGCGTTGTGCGCCGGCCGACCTGGGCCTTTCTTTGTGTGCTCCTTCTTGCGCCACTTGGCTCGACGGTTCTGGAACCAAACCTGAGAACAAAGCAAACAATTTTTGTTTATTTACATTTGGGAACAATAGATTAATGATTTTAAATAAAATTTGTACAATTTAGCTATTTTAGCGCTCTACATTTTGTTTGTTTAAGAAACAAAGTATTTAAGAATGTTTAAAAGAAGCATTAAAAGTTAACCCTTTGTGCACTTTTTTAAATGGATGCAACCTGCTCAGCACCATTGCTCACCACGTTGCATAGTTTTTTTTTGGTTTCTTATTTTTTAAATTACAAAATTCAAAGTTGTGTGGTAAAATCATCAAGAAATGTTAATTCTCAAAGCAAAGTCAAATAATAAGTTAAAACAATACTACACTAAATTAATTAGCAACTTAAAGTTTTAAAATCTCTAAAAAAAAAAAACACTATTTTTTGCTCAATATAATTCTTTAAATTGGTGCACTTTATTTATTTATTTATGTTAAGCTTACTATATATTATATCATTTGTTATGTACATAATTTTTTATTAATATAAAACAAAATTCTTTAAACAGTACATAACTAATTTATTTTTAAAATATTAAACATTTTATCAGTTTTTAATTTATACATAGTATTTTATTAACGATATTTAAGAAAAATAGGGAATGTTATCCTATTTTTCAATACAGAAAATAAGTCTGATGAAATTAACAAATGTTAAAAATATATTTAAGAATTATAAAAGATAAAAGTAATGGATGAATTCTGTCAACACCATCATCAATCTGATCTTGGTTGATATATTTCTTAATTTGTATGAATACTTATAAATGCAACTTCAATTAAAAATATGTAAAAAGATATTGGATCAAATATTTACCATCAAATCGTTATTTAATTTTAAAATAGAATTCCAGTATAATTATTTTTTGTTCATTTTTAATGGTTTTTAACATTACAACTATTAAAATATTTATCTATTCATAATTTTTGTTAGAACCTAATTTATTGCAAATTAACAAATGCTATGCGCCGTTCTGAAAGACATTAATCATTATTCACGGAACACTCTGGCCAATTTCAATTCCAAGTCGCGCAAACGATTATAGTTTTTGGAGCCGGGCCGAAACATTTAATTATCGTGGCGCGGCTGACGCAAATTGTTAAACATGCAGACGCTCTCGCGGATTAATTTATTGGTTCGCGAAACTGCACGAATTGAGACGTCCGTCGTGGTAATTTGTATTCGGACTCACGTTTTTGCTTTTTCATATATAAACATGCATTAGTAGAGAGAAAGAGAGAGAGACCGTGCGTTATATTTGAATATCCAGCAGAGAATGAGCAATTTGCGTTGGCAATAAATCAAAAAAAGGAGCCGACGGAAATTGGCGGTCGCGAAAATATATAAAATTCGGAGCCGCGGGGCGAGTGCACCGATAAATCAGCCTCGCTCTCGAACTCTCAAATTGAGACATTTTATTAAAAGAGCAGCAGCGAATTCAATCAGAGCGAAAATTTCTCGCGCGTCGCCCGCAGCTCTCAAGAGAGGGAATTTTCGAACACGAAATTATACCCACTGAAGAGCAAGAAAAAAAAATAAAAAAAGGTTTGGGAGAAGAAAATAACGCCGAGGTAATAACAGGCTGCCCGCTGATGCCGTATCTCTACTTTTTGTACCCTCTGCTCTCGGTATTACAAGTTAATAATAATATCGTCTCTGGTGTGTGTGCGGGGAAATATCTTCTTCTACCTGCTGCTTCTGCGTGCATGTGAGATGTCTCTATCTATTTTCAATAAACCGACGAGCAGACAGACCCTCGTCGGGCCTAATTGGCCCCCGAAAAAACAATTTGGAAAACAAATCACGCGAAAGAAAAAAATATACTGAAGATCAACCCTTCTTTTTTTTAAGAATTCTCGGGGGCATTCAATGTTGTTGTAAAACAAATTATTATACGACTGCTTTATTAATTTTTATTGCTCGATTTTTCTCATCCTTTTCTTCTCAATAAATAAATAAATATAAACACGGCTATCTCTCTACACACTATGTAATGATGTGAAGCGTCGTTTAAATTGATGGATCGCTCTCGCTCCTCCATTCCGAAACAATTATAAAGGAAAAATTTCGACTGAACCAGACCATAAATCTGCGGCAAGAGATAAAATAAAAACTATGGCCAGCACGTCAAACTCGATTATACACCAATGAAGATAAAAAAAAGAGTTCCTTCTCTCTCTCAATTATGTGCCGTAATTAGAGGCACAGTTAATGTGTTGCTGCCACCATAATTCATGTGTAGCTTATGCCGAATCGGGCCTGATGTATCAATTATGGCCGGTATTTAGTTTGTGTATTCAAATTATACACTACTAAAAATTCGGAACAAAATTGATTGTGGTAAAAAAAATTATGATAACGGTCGCGTTTACATTTTTATGGGTAAATAATAATGCTGTTATTAGCGTGAGTGTTAATTTGACAAAATAACGATCAAAATTTATCTATCAAAATAAAATGCTTGACAGATTTATAAAAATTAACAATGTGCTAGAATAAGACGGTAAATTTTAGTTAAGAGTTTTCACAATTTAAATACAGAAAAGTAACTGTTAATTCAGTTTTCTTACAAAATTTTAGCTGTTTAGGCACAATTAAAAATTGATAAATTTGAAAAATTAAGAAAATAAAATGTCTTAATTCTAATGTTCTATATTAAGTTTGTTCGTTATAAGAATTAATAACGTGTGTAACACGGCGAAAAAATCTTAATTTTTCGGGTGAAAACGAAGGGCAGTTTTACTATTTTCCTCACGTTTCACGAGTTTTACTTACAATTAGCAAAATCGATAAAAAGTGCGCATTATTATGAAACTGCACTGTGACATGCACAGCTGCAGTTTCACACAATGATGCATCCCGCATTTCCTTGCTGGTTTTTGCTCCATTAAGGAGGTTCTTTTCCGGCAATATGTGGGGAAAATTTGCATTTTGGTTGCACGCCAACGGCTGGAAAACTAGTGTGCGGTGAATTTTATTTCTTCCTCTGCACTTCCTTCAATTTAAATAATATGAAAATGCTACAATTATTATAATAGAGGTTAGGACGAAGCATAATTCAATCAGAAATAAGCTGATGAAAAAAATTATGCCGAACGCCGTGTGATAGATTAAAAGATAGAATAAAAGCCTAAACTTAGAATCATACAAAACTAATTATTATTATGTTATTGCTCCTTATCAGTGAATAAGAATATCTGTAATAATAGCACCAATATATGTATGTGTAAATCAAAAATATATCATTTGATTTGTATGTGTATGAATGTGACCCTTTTTATCTGAAATAATATTATGTAGTTAATTAAATAATTAGATTTAAAAATATTGAGCCCAACAAAAACAATGTACAGAAAATAAATGTTCTTAATGATAAATAATGATGCAGATTGGAGATGAGATTTTCATTACTTTACATTATTTAACGGGGTATTAGCATAATTAAGAATCAAACGTGAGAGGTGAAAAGGAGATTATCAAAAACATAAAATACACGCCAACTCGCAAACAATAAAGTCTAAAGAAGCGAATTGCCACACAGAGCAGGACAGAGAGAGATATTCCAATTAAGGAAAGTTGAATGGATGTGTGTGTGTGTGTGTGTGTGTGTGTGTTTGCGGCGCGCGAGAGAGAAAAGTTAATTGAGTTGTTTCGTTTTGCGGCCGTAAATTGAGTTGTCGTCGGCGAGATTTTAATTTGGGGGCGCGAATAAGAGATTATTGCTGGCCTCTGCATAACATCGAATTGGAGCAAATTGAATCGCGTGTGAGTCGGTCGGCGGCCGTGCTGATGGAAAATAATAAAGCTAATTAATTGAAAGGCACAACGGTGGCGGCTCGTTTTCAATAGATGCAAATTTGATCACGCGAAATTCGCGTTTCGTGTTTCGTTGCTGGCCACTTTTGGATATCGCGCGCGCCAGCCAACGGCCAAATTGGCTTGTGACATGCGAGAGAGAAAAACACTGCGAGCAAAAAGAACCCCCGATCGCTGAGAACACCACCAGCTTCAAATCGTTGGTTAGAGGATTATAGTTGTTAAAAGATTTGAGACTAAAGTTTTTGCAATAATGTGGTATTTTTCATCTCAACTTTGAAAAAAGTCCCAGGAAAAGTCTTTTTGGGCAGACAATCTTTTCAACAAGTCAAGTCGGGTATTTTAGTTTTATTAACTTCTATAGAAGCTAAGTAAAATTTAGGTTCTTTCGTTATAAAATTGATGAAGGCATTGATTTTTCATATAACAAAATTCACTTAGGAAAGAGTCAATTTGTCCCTCTCGACTTTTTATTTTGTTGACTTTGATTTAAACTTACAAAATGAGCTCTCTGGGATTTACTTTATGTTGATTTGTCAAATATCTCACAACGTTCGCAAAATATTTGTGAGAAATTTAAATTCAGACGAGGAAAATTTAAATTGGTTTTAATTCTACATTATATCATTATTTCTATCTGCTATCAAATTATTGTGTTCCACAAATAATCCTGCACAAACTCTAAAGTGATTTAAAAAAAAAAAATAAATAAATAAATTTTCTCATTGTAATAAATTTAAATTATCTTCTAATTTGCTATAATACTGGTGCCGTTTTGTCCATCAATTCCTTTTTTTCAAATAAATTATTTTCAACAATTTAATGTAAACAATGCACTGTTACAATGTGGACAAAAAAAAATACTTTTAGTTATTTTGAAAACCATGTTCAAATATTTTGCCCCCATGAGGTGATTAAAATCCTCAACCAAAAAGAAATTAAGTTGTTGGAAAGCTGCAAGCAAGGTCTGAATAGAGCCGTCAAGCCACGCATTTGCACCTGTCAAAAATCTGCTGCCGCTTTATTAGAACGAAAATTGTATTAGCGCACACTTCTTCAACCCCTTTTCTGCTTTTTCCGCTCGACCTGGGAATTAATCACATTTTTCGTGAAGACAGTTGCGAGCAATTAGAGAAAAATTTATTACTATTTTGTACAAAATTCGTGTTACTTAATAAACAACAAAGAAAAGGGTAAGAATTTCACACTCGACGAGCCAGGTGGTTAATAACTTTTCGCCGCATCCCTTTGTGTCTAAATCTAAAAATCTTCAGGTGGGCAAAACTTTTATGTATTCATTTTCGTGGAATGAAGTGGAAATAAAACGGGCGGTGTTGTGTGTGATGCGGAGAAATAAGTGACAGCAGCTTATTATTTGTGGAAATTTACGAGCGCGTTGTTGTAATTTTAATTCATTGCGCCGAGGAGGAAATAATACACAAAGCTCGGCGTTTCCATCTCACTCACTCGGCTCAGTCGCGCGGTTAATCAAAATTTATAGCAATCGTAAATTAGCGTTTTCGCTGCTCTTTATTGCCCGTCGGCCGCATGAGAGCGCGCGAGGCACGAAACCAACCTTTTATACATCTTAATTTAGAAAATTGTTATTGCCAAGCGCGACTCACCCGACAGCGATAGAAAGATTTTTGTTCCTTATTGATATCCAAGGAGGCTCTAGCAATTTTCTCATAAGGGATGTGGTTTACTTTTTATGTCCTCGAACCCCAAAATTTTATTTATTTATTTTTTTTTTTGTAAGGTAAAGCAGTATTATGAGACCAAAACGACTAAAGAAATGTAAATTGTAAAATAGTGAGCCAAGAATTTTGAGCCAATTTTTTTAAATTATGGAAAAACAAATATATATGCATGGTAATAAAATTTAAAACTAAAAAAATCTAATTTTAAATTGCCTATAAATTAAAATGACTCACAGCAACTCTGGATTCCTTGAGGTCGAGTCTCATGGCGAGGGCCTCGCGCATGAAGACGTCAGGGTAGTGGCTGGCCTGGAAGGCCCTTTCGAGTTCCTCCAGTTGCCAGCTGTTGAAGTTGGTGCGCGAGCGGCGTCTCTTTCCGCCGCTGCTGCCATTGTCGTCGTCGTCGGCCGAAACGTCATCTCCTCCTCCTCCACCTGCAAAAACACGATTCAAAATTTCAATTTCGGTGGCACTATTTTTCTTGTTATCTCCCAAACGAGAATTGAGGCGTTTCGCGTGCCACGGTAAATTTTCTAATCAAAAGTCGCACGCGAAACAACAAATTGTTTTCTCTCGAAATACAACACAGTACCGCATAGAAGGAAAGGGCTGATGCAAGGGTGTAATTACGCACAACGGCACCCCTGACCGAAAATTGTTTCTTGCTGCACGCGAATTTGCCTGCCAACGCCGGCTGATTGATTCTTAACTCCAATGACGTGTGTGCGCCTGACTGTTTTATTAAAGGGTTGTTTTCACGGGCTGCTGCTTATTTTTGAAATTCTTCAGAAGAATTTTCAAAACATTAAAATCCCCAGTTATTATGTTGCAATTTAAAACTATTGCTCTTTTTAACAGCATGAAAATTCTTGCAATAAATGATTTTTATTAATTTAAGCAGGCTTAATAATTATATTTGATCATTCCAATAATTCCAAATTAAAATCCGGCAGATAATTATTATCATTTGAACAATTATTGACCTCTAAATCACACTTATCCTATTTATACTAATTTGCAATTATGTATGATAAAATCATAACAAAGTTAATCAACAATTTTTTTTACTTTATTGTTATATATTTTATTTTTTTCTTCTAAAAATTTTGAAAAGCAAGAAAGGGTAAAGAGATCTCAATATTAATAATGTTATAAAAAAGTTTCAAAAATAACATTTTGTTAACTTCTATTTCTATATAAAATTTTTTTATTCTTTTTGTTAATATTAATCACATCCGGGTTTCTGCTTAATCTGCCGTTTTGCTGGCAAAAAGCAGCGTGAAATTTCGCTTTCCAATTAGCACCACTTGTCGTCAACTTTGTTAAGCTGCGACACGTGATTTGGAAATCACTGACAATGGGACGACTGGGTAGGCTGTCAACATTTAACGCCTCCAGCTGCGTCGCTAACAATCGCCGATTCTTCTGCCTTTTTTAGAATTTTTTTTTAAATGATGAACATTATTTATCACACCCTGACGATTATTTATAAAATTCAAAAGATTCTTTGGATTCATTGCAAATCATTAAAAAATTCTTCATTTTTTATTTAAATAAAAACTTTTGGATCATAAAAATAATCATCTTGAGTATAATAAAAATGTGTAATAAGTTAATTTTCCAAGTATTAATTTATTGATCTGGTCAATGAGTGATTTCATAATGTTTATATTTTGTAGGACAGTTAAATGTCACTTGACCTATGTTCAAACATTAAATTAGGAACGTGGCATGAGCACGCGATTAATCCATTAAACAAAATTGTGCCATTTTATCTTTTTGAACTTTTCTTGTTTGCAGCCGCGGGGCGCAAATGAGCAAGAAACAAAATCGCGGCCGATTAATATTTAGAGCGGGGGTGAGCGGGCGAGGAAGGGGCGATAGTTACGTGGTTGTTTAATGTCTTTATTGTTTCCGATCAAGCAAACGGCCAAAAGTCAGGCGATCGACCGGCCAAAAGGCGCCGCCGGCCAAAATAATTACGCCCTCAATCCAACTATTGAAATTTATGGAGTGCAGCTGTGAACAGGAACCACATAATATGCAAATTGGAATCCAACCCCCATGCATCATTCAATATACCCGTGAAGCAAAATATTATTTTCAAATCTCCTTATAGCATCAAATTTTCAAATTTAATAATTATAAAAAAATATAAGTTTTAATGCAATATAAAATTGTTTCCTAATTCAAAGATTTCATCACATCAAAAAATGCCTGGATTACAATTGGGAAAATATGTTTATACAAATAAAAATCTATTTTTTCTTGATTTTAATATAATAGTTATTTTAAATTTTATTTCAATTAATTATTATCATGTACAATGCAATTAAAAAAAAAAAATTATAAATTTTAGATTTTATTTATTTTTACATAAAAATTCCTTATTTGAATCTAAAGCTTCTAATTTGTCAAAAAATTCTAATTTATAGTTTATTACAGTTAATTTAATTTTTTTTTTAAATAGTAACTTTCTTGTAAAAACTCTATATTCTTAACGTAAACATATTAACAGATAATACATATTTTTGCATGTTGTCATTACATTGTCTCGTAATTGACGTAATATTCCTAATAATTTTTAATTAAAAAGGAGCCTGAATAAATAAAATAACTAAAATAAGATGCTATGTGGTGAGAAATGCACCCAATATCATCTGGCCGAGTGCAACAACCGAGTGCTTAGCATTAACGATTATTCTAAAAATAAGTGAAAAACTTTGAAAATCCTGTCGCGCAAACTGATAAAATAAATTGTGAATCTTAATTTTAACCTTCTAAGATGTAAGTTGAAAGTTGTACTCAATTGAGTTTTCAATAAAGACCATATATAACTAAAATAAGATATAACAAAATTTTGCTTAGATCGGATTGAGCGCTGACTTTACACACCATTGGTATAAATTTCATAGGTTGAGATAAAAGTGTCCATAACTCAAATCCAGACTTTTAAATGTTTATCCATTTCGCTTCTGCTGCGACGCGTCGCGTATTCAGGTGGCAAAAAGAAGCACGGAGCAGCAAAAGTTATGGCCGAGGACGTGCGGAAACTGGTTTCTTCTCCAATCCTTTTTACTTTTAAATTACATACAAATCAAGAACAAACTTGTTTATGTGGCGATTTTTTACATAATGTCTTCATTTGGAAAATATAATGCGTCATTGTAAGAGAAAGAATATTCCACATATACGGGCGGAAAAGGGGGAAAATAAACCACCGCCCAGTTTAAGGTGTAATTTTGATTGTCGGCGCGGGGGCAAAAGTGCTTATTAGCAGTTTTTTTTTATATTTTTCTCGCACACCGGGGGATTACACACGTGATACTTTTCCTTTCTTATCGGACCACTTTTATCGGACAAACAATTTGCCTCTTATCATCGCGCGGCGCACAGAGAGAGCAAATTATTGTTTACGGCCAAAATTTATGTGCGTGAAGAAACTTCTTATTTTTTGGCATTTGGCTTGAATAAAAAGAGAACTTCTCGGCACGAGAAGAAACAATAAAAGTAATAATGGAGAGAAGGAAATATATTGAAATGGCCAAGGCAAGGAGCTTATCGAGATGAAGGAGAAATGATTTTTATGTGTGTTTGTGTTATTTTTTTTTCTATATTCCTCCATACCAAAAAGAACATAAAAAACACCTGCGCGTGCTGATGGGAAAATGCTTTTTGGTAAAGATCAGATGCTTCGTGATGTCGAAAGGAAAACAAAATTTGCGTTTATATTTGAATTTTGACTTGCAAGGCACGATAAAAAATTCGGCGTATTTGCATATTTTGTGCGGCACGAAAACAGCAACGGCAAAGGAAGGAAAATAAATAAAAAAATTACGCCATTATTTCTATTATGTTATACAACAGGAAAAATGAATTCAGATTTTTTGTTCTTGAGATAAAATTAGATGGCATTGGGAATGAAAAATTAATCTCAATGGGGAATGGAAGCAATTTATATAATTCAAGGTTTTTTGTAAAAATTCCCTTATGTACAAAAGAGGGAAATTAAAATTTATAATATAAAAATCTGGCGATTCTGTTTCATGTAAGGCCTTTGGTTTATCATCAGAAGAATGGACTTTTTGCAAGTTATGTAAAAATATAAAACATTGACAAATTAAACCTTCAGCAAAAGATGCTGACATTTTCCTACTATTTAAAAAAATTTCGCTGGAAGAATAATGAAATTTTATAGAGAAATTCTTGGCCATTTTTCTTAAACAGGCAGACTCGATTTTGAGAAATAATAAATAAAATAAAAGTTTTGAATGTTTCGTCAGACAATTTAGATTTTTACAAAACATTTCCCATGATTAGGTAAATTGTTAATAAACAACTGCTAGGTGAAGATGATTTCATTTTTCAAGCATATTTTGCTATTTATAAATTTTAAAAGATTTCTGGAAAAATAATTGCTTAAGAAGGTCCTTAAGAAATTTGAAATTTATCAAATTACCTCAGACTGATTTCAAAGAGATGGGAGTATTTTGAAAAACAAAACAGGTACACAAAAATTCGCAAATAAAATAGCTGTGGTTCATCACAAATTTAAATTTTCATATTCACTAAAAAATATACATTAATTAGTGCTTTCAGAAAGATTTCAAAAAAACTGTGTTACATCCGTTTTTAAATTTCTAAATTGAAGGGAAAAAATTAACTATCCGAACCTGCTCTTATTTTATTACCGTTTGTCTCAAATTACGAAGTCGATTAGCGCCATGAAAGGAGCCGTGCGTGGAATTCAACAAAGGCCGCGGTGCAGATGAGATCCGCGCCGACGGGCTTTCTTTCCTTTTGACTCGATGGTTGGCGAAAGGAAGGGTCTTTGAGGAGGAAGCAAATTGAGTCATTTTCGTGTTAAGCCGTGGTCTCTCCGCAGATACCCATCTGGCCGCGCGCGGCAAATTTAATTGCCCTCTCTTGCCGCATGTGAGTGTACACCTAGCTATTAAACAACAAGTTTCCACCTCAAATTATCGTCGTCGTCATCATCTCTCTAAACACACCAAGGGACGAAAAAGGAGGAATTTGATTATGGTGAGCGTCGTCGCCGCCTAAATCGCTGCTTTGAGGGAATTTAAATGAAAATCAGAAAGCGCGCGGCTCTCCGAGGAGGATGGCAGGTGGTGCTGCGAGAGGGCCCCGGGCTCCCGCGGGGCCCATCAACCCCCTCCCCTTTGGCCGACACAGCTAAAAAGGGCATCGATCGCGCCGCGGCGAGAAGAAAGGGTTGAGAGATGAAACAACCTACTGACTCTCATATAAACACGTGGTGCTCTGGGCCAATTTGGGTAACTTCTGGAAAAATTTTACCACTGAATTTATTATTATTGAATCCTGAATTACAATTTTCTTTTGCACTCAATTTAGAGGTATCTTTCGGTCTTTGAAGTTCAATTATATGAAAAAACAATATTTATATTTACTA